TAACACTTCACACTCTCCATCCATCCCTGAACAGAAAAGTGGGAACCCAAGCAGACATTACAGGGTTACTGGTTTGAGAATTCAGGCTTGAGCCTTCTAGGAAAGCTGGGAAGAGTAGGGTACTTAGGGTGAGGCGAGGAGAAAGGCAAAGAAAGGAGAGCCCAGTTGCCTCACGGGACAACCTCTAAACTAGGCGTGTGTGTGTGTGTGTGTGTGTGTGTGTGTGTGTGTGTGTGCGCGCGTGCGCATGCGTGTGTTGCTGAGGGTCACATGACTGCCACCTGGAGATCAGGATCTGAAACATTTCCCACTGCCAAGGCAAAAATCTTCAGAGGAAAGTAAGAGACTCTAGTTTCTATTTTATTAACAAGACCCAACAGAAAACAAAAACAACATATACACAGGCATGAAATTAGCACCATTAAAAAAATAAATTAAATAAGCATGAGACTAGAAGTGTAACCCATAGCTGGGGGGGGGGGATCAGGTAGTACCCAGAAATTAGAATTTATAGGCTTTAAAAGGAATTTAAAGCAGCCATTATGGATAAGCTAGAGAACTACAAAGAAAAGATAGTTACCATGAACCAGCAGATCAGGACCTCATCAAAGGCATAGAAACCACAGAACAGAACCACATAGTACCAGAGGAGCTTTGCAACAGGTGACCTTGGATGGAACAGGACTGAGAAGCAGCAAGTTAGGAAAGGCGTCAACTCTGGATGTGCCTGTGAGGACATCTCCCAGAAGCAGCTCCTGGCCTGAGTGCTTTAACCCACTAGCAGGGGTGGTGTGGCCTGTCGGATGAAGAAGGCCATGCGGGCATCTAGGGGATGTATCTGGCCTGGTCTCTCCTGTTCCTGCTCCTTCGCTCTGCTCCCTGCCCTCCCTGATGCCAGCCATTCTGCCTCATGTTCCCCAGTGTGACAGATGACAACCTCTCAAGTTGCAAAAATAATAAAGCAAGTAAATATTTCCTGCGTGTGAGTTGCTTCTATTGGGCACTGTCACAGCGGTTAGTCTGCGGCCTCCCATGAGCTTTGCTGGATGAACTGCCCTAAATGGCTACAGATGTTTAACAAACCGAAAGACAGGCGCCTGAAAGCAGTGAGGGGCAACCAAACGGCAGAGGCTGCATGTCTAACTGCCCTTAAAAGTTGAAGGCTAGCCAGGACCACTGGCACGGGTCTTTGATTTTGCACTCAAGAGTCTGAAACAGGAGGAATATGAGATATGGGGAGTTCAATGCCAGCCCACACAGTGAGATTACCTCAAAAGAACAGAAAGGGGCTGCACTGCAAAGGAAGGGACAAAACCCCAAACTTCCCAAACCCTGTAAAATCTAGGTTGTTCAACAAATACAGAGCAAGTCAAACATTGTTAGGACCCAAAGAGAAGGAAAAATAAAGAAGCTTGGGGAAGATACTGTTTCTACAAATGCTTAGGAATGAAAGCTGACTTCAGAGAGGAACAGGAGACCTGACCAACGACCCCAACACAATGGCTTTAACACTCTACACAGAAGGAACAAATCTGTAGACACAATTCTATACCCAGCAAAACTAGCATAAAAATGGAGGAAAGTAGACTCTTTAACACCAGAACTGTGTGGAGCCTTGAAGGAAGTTCTTCACATGGAAGGGAAATGACAGGAAGAGCGGTCACCAAAAATGGCGAAATTGAACATATAAAATGGCATTATCTTCTCTTAGTAATTTCTTCAAAAGACAATTTTTTTTTTTCGAGACAGGGTTTCTCTGTAGCTTTGGAGCTTATCCTGGCACTTGCTCTTGTAGACCAGGCTGGTCTCGAACTTGCAGAGATCCGCCTGCCTCTGCCTCCCAAGTGCTGGGATTAAAGGCGTGCACCACCAACGCCCAAAAAAATTATAAAACTACACTTTCTGGTTCATAATGTAACATGAAACAATGTAGCACAGAGGTTGAGAGACACTAAGCTGAAAAAGAAATCAAAATGTAACCCTAGAAAATGTTCAGTTATTCCAACACACAGAATGTAACCCTAGAAAATATTCAGTTACTCCAACACACAGAATGCAACCCTAGAAAATATTCAGTTACTCCAACACCCAGAGAGAGAATTCACAAAGGAACTAAACTGCTGAGAAAAGTGGAAAACAGATAACAAAGGGGTAGAAATAAACCCACATATGTCAACAATATCAAACAAAATGGATTAAATGTGCCAATTAAAAGGTATAAACTATGACACTGTACACAGAGACCTGTGGTGATGTATTATTTATGATTTAAAAAAGCCACTGGAGATCAGAATGCAAAGCTAGCCACAGCCATACAGCCAGGCAGTGGTGACACAAACCTTTAATGCCAGGACTCGGGGGAAACAGAGGCAGAAAGATCTGTTAGTTCACGGCCACCCTGAGCTACACACAATTGATACAGTCTAAAAGAGAAACAGCTCACACAAGGGTGATCTCAGCACTGGGGATCCCATGCCTTTAATCCCAGTGCTGGGGAGGTGGAGACAGGAGTGATATGGCTGGGAGGAGAGAAGCAGGAGGAGACAGAACTCAGAGGATTGCAGTGTGACGGCTGGTGGAGAGCAGTGCAGTCCGCATAATGCCTCTGAGGATTCATGAAGAGAATATTGCCTCTGAGGCATTGCACCCTGAGGATCTGTGGAGTGAGGATCACCCCTTTCAGCCTGAGGTAGAGGTAAGAGCTAGTGGCCAGCTGCTCTGCTTCTCTGATCTTCAGCTTGAACCCCAATATCTGTCTCTGGGTATTTTATTATTCGTGTTACAGAGACCCATGAAAGGAGAAACTTTCAAACATAAATAATTCTGCTTGATGATAAAAGTTAGAAAATCAGAAGGGCATAAATATTAACCCTGCTTCTTTAAATACAGCAGAAGAGCCAGGCTGAAAACCACCACCACTTCCTTTTTACAAACCAAGTAAGCTGAACTCTAGGAAGCAGAAGGGAGGGGGAAAAAAAGGAGAAAGCCATAGGAAATAAGCAATGGAGAAAGTAAAGTTAAAAACTGTGCGAGGGGCTGGAGAGATGGCTGCTCTTCCAGAGGACCTGGGTTCAATTCCCAGCACCCACATGGAAGTTCACAACTGTAACTCCAGTTCCAGGGGATCTGACACCTTCACACCAACGTACATAAAATAAATCAAAAAGGAAACTGTGCTGAAATGCTAAAAGAATTGATAATCGTGAATGAGAGGAAATGGAAGAGATCTGTACATGGTGAAGGATAAGCAAGCAGGGCCACCAACTATCCTAACAATTCTCATAGTTTGGATGGAGAAAATAAGTTCTCTGAAACACAGCAGAACTAACCAAACTGAAGTCCTCATCTCAGTTGAACTTCTTATAGAAACCATGTCATGTCACAAAGAAAACTTGAGAGTCATAGGCTTAACCAGTGCATTTTAACAAGAATTTAAGAGCGAGAAGGACCCTGGTCTTAAACAAAATTCCTCAGACGGCACTTTGCAGCAGGGCGCTAGCTAGGCACAAAGGCCAGTGGGTAAGACCAAGAAGGAGGCTACTGCACACTCTCCTTACTTCTGAGAGGACACAGCAGCCGAGACTTGGCAGACACCATCTCTGACTACACCAAAATTGGCATCACAGTGTTTGGGCCCTGAGCTTCCTGCCATGATATACCGAAAACATGTTATGACTATGACATTCTTGTCAGAGAAACAGAGGCTAACACCAAAATGGAGGAAACACTAGGCAATACCAAGACAGAAGACATTCTCAAAACAAAACAAAAAACTGGCCTAAAGAGAGATTTGTTGATTTCTTGTTTAAAAAAAAAACAAAAACAGAAACAAAAAATCAAAAAACTGGCCTAGGCTGTGTCAAGACCTCCCAAGTTCCCAAGTTCCAAAATCCAGGAGACCAGAGACAGGACAATCCGGGGCCAAGAGAGACTGACAAAGACATGCAATGTGAAGGCGAGTGACATCGGCACTTGTTTAAATGCTGACTTCCACCCGTGTGCCGTGGTTTTCCAGAACTTTCCTAGTGTTAGAAACGTACATTAAAGTCTTTCCGTGTAATGACCATGTCTCCAACTCCTTCTTAAATGGCTGTGTGTGTATGTGTGTGTGTACATACACACAGAGATGTTCTACGTAATCTATGTATACACATGTGCCTATGTGTATACAAAAGGAAAAGACAGGATGGCACAAACAAAAGCGACAGGCTACTGGAGAAGTGGGAACAAGGGTCCAGAGGAGCTCGTGTTTATGTTTTTATAACTCTTCTGCCAAGCTTGAAATTAAAACAGAATAAAAAGCTACCCCCTTTAGAAAGAATATCCCAAA